AATATAAGATTAAATGTATTGACTGCATTTAAAACTACTATTTATAAGTTGAAGAAATTTTCTGTAAAAATTGCAAATATAAAACCGAAATTCTTACCAGCAAGCCGAGAGAAAGAGAATTGTGGTACTTTTACTCCAACTTTTCCGCAGCCAGCTAAGACGTCCACAGGCTCAATTGTTTCGCCGACGATTAAACGAGTTGCCGTCGCGACAAAGTCATGATCTAAAGTTTTCGAGACGAAAGGAAAGATCTGGATACTCTTACGTTACACTCAATCACTTTTAGCTCATTATCCTGTATAAAGGTATTTATAATTTATTAGTTTTTGTCAAAAAATTTAAAAAATATAATAAAATCTAAAAACCTCTTTTCTCTTTTCTTCTCTTTTTTCCCTCTTTTCTTTTTCTTCATACTTAATAATTTGGTGTTCATACAATAAAATGAAATTATTATGTAATTTAAATAGCAAAAAAAGAAAATATAAAATAGATAATATAAGACTATTATTTAAAAGATATATATGATAACTGATATCATAATAAAATCATTTTTTTAACTGATTTGATCTATATATATAGATCAAATTAGTTAAAAAAGAAAACAATTTTATTAATGATTTTATTATAGCACAATGTATGCAAATCGTCTCTAGTAATTTTATTATCAAATCTATATATACAGGGTGTCCCATAATTCGCGAACCACCGCGAATGGGCAGATAGAGCGTGTTAAACTAAATAGAAAACTCCTGTATCATTTTGCGATATTCACAATAATTATTGAGTTATTTATTAAAATATCTAAACGAATAAGCAGGTAGAAAGTATTATTTGATCGAGAGGCGGCGTCATGCAGCGAGCGGCGACCAATGTAGTGGCGCCGAAAAATAAGATGATACTTTTGATACTAAGCGGTACATGCACACCGAGTCCGGCCTACCGCTTTCTATCCGCTCATTCGTTTAGATATTTTAAATAATAACTCAATAATTATTGCGAATATCGCAAAATGATACAGGACTTTTCTATTCAGTTTAACACGCTCTATCTGCCCATTCGCGGTGGTTCGCGAATTATGGGACACCCTGTATATATAAATTTCAAACACAAAAATCTAGCAATTTTTTCTACCTTCGCAATTAATTGCATATTGAAAGGACCTGTGACTCCCAGAGATGCTGCTACTGCTTTTGAGATACTTTTTATCTTCATCAAAGTTTCCTCATTGATATCCTGTGGTGGCGTTACTAATGTAGCATCTCCTGAATGAACACCAGCATTTTCGACATGTTCAGATACTGCCATGCATAGTATAATTCCTTCATAAGCAACGGCATCGACATCGATTTCTTTCGCTTCGAGAAGAAATTTTGATATCACCACAGGATGCTCTTTACTAACTTCGCTCGCGCTCTTCAAATAAGACTCAAGATCCTGATTTGAGTGGGCAACGTTCATTGCGGCTCCACTTAGCACATACGAAGGCCGAACAAGACATGGATAGCCAACTTCTTCGCAAAATTCAATGGCGGATTTTAAATTTGTCAGTTCTTTCCATCTAAAACGAGAAATAGAGCGGAAAGGAGATTGCGCGATAAATATACACTTTTATACACACATATACGTATGATATATGTATATATGAAAATCATGCATACCTTGGTTGCGATATACCAATGCTGTCAAGCATGCGAGAGAATTTAAAACGGTTTTCGGCGCCATCAACGGACTCTGGTGATGTTCCGAGGATTCGGGCCTGCTGTCTGTGCAAATCCATGGCAATATTGTTTGGTAATTGCCCACCCATTGACAATATTATACCTTCAGGGCACTCACAATCATATATATCCATTACTACTTCAAAAGAGATTTCCTCAAAGTACAATCTATCGCTCATGTCATAATCTGTACTGACTGTCTCTGGATTATAATTAACCATTATTGTTTTACGTTCAAGATTTCGCAATTCGCGCAGGCAACTCACGGCACACCAATCGAATTCTACTGAACTGCCGATTCTGTAAACCCCGGAACCTAAAAAAAATATTAAATTTTTTTATCCTTTATATAATATATATATATATATATATATATATATATATATATATATCTCTTAATTATATTTATATCGGTAATCATAATCGCGCATTTTTCTCTTTTACATATATGTATATGTATAAATAATTATAAGGAATTATTAAAAACCGTTATAGAAGTATAAGAGTCGTTTCAAATTTAGTTGAATATGTATTAAATTAGCAAAATTGTATTTTTTTATTAAAACACAATTTTGTTTGTTACGATTATAATTACAAAACAATTATGTCCATATAACATATATATATGTATACATATATACGGAAATATATACCTATCACCATTGTGTATCCGCCAGGAAATTCTATATCATGACTAATGCCATTGTACGTTAGATAAAGATAATTTGTAGTGGCTGGCCATTCAGCAGCGACTGTATCAATTTGTTTGACCATTGGTCGAATATTATTCTCCTGTCTTTGTATTCTGACAGCTAATTCGGAAATCTTCACGAGAGCGGCAATCTGCTTATCCGAAAAACCGTTCTGCTTTGCGCCCAGCAGCAAGTTCTGCGAAAGTTTTGTATGATCGATGTTTTCCAGGAGCACATAATAATCGATAATGTTCTTCATCTTTTCAAGAAACCAGCGATCAATTTTGGTGAGTTCGTATAATCGATCGATTGTGTAACCGGCCTTGATCGAAGAAGCGAGAACAAACATTCTTTTGTCAGTCGGTTTTTCCAATTCTTCATCGTTGATTGCTTTCACATAAGGATCGAAGCCATTCACATTTTCATTAACCATTCTCAATGCCTTCTGAAAAGCTTCCTCGAATTTACGTCCGATCGCCATTACTTCACCTACACTCTTCATAGAACTGCCGATCTGAAAAGTATTTGATATTAAAGATATATAAAGAAGCAATCGATTAAAATCAAACTATATACAAATAATTATATATTTACATTGTAAAATAAAAGTTTTATATTTTTTCTTTAATTAATTAGCTCTTTATATACTTTATTGTGACTTTTAAAATATCATATTATATGTACATGTAGATTAAGGAAATATATTTTCTTTCTTTCATTTTCAAATATTAGATAATACGAATGATAATATAACATTGTATAAAGTATTACAAAAATTATCTAACGTTTAATGTTTATTAAAAAAATTCAAAATTAAAGAATTCTTATCCATTACCTTTGTGCTGACACGATGAAATTTGCTAAGGTCCCATCTAGGTATTTTAACTACACAATAATCAAGACTCGGCTCAAAACAAGCTGTTGTTTCGCCAGTGACAGAATTACGAATATCCGACAAGCGTATTCCAAGAGCTAATTTGGCAGCGACATAAGCCAGAGGATAGCCGGTAGCTTTGCTAGCTAAAGCCGAGCTTCTAGACAGTCTAGCGTTCACTTCGATAATGTAATATTCTTCTGAGAAAGGATTGAGCGCGTATTGAATATTACATTCTCCGACAATGCCGAAATGCTTAATGACCTTAATAGCGGTTGTTCGTAGCATATTATATTCTTTATTAGACAATGTCTGACTTGGCGCGACAACGATCGATTCACCAGTATGAATGCCGAGAGGATCGACATTTTCCATGTTGCATACTGTAATACAATTGTCATATGCGTCGCGGACAACCTCATACTCTACCTCCTTCCAGCCTTGCAATGATTTGTCAATTACTAGTTGGCTGGAGTGAGCTAAAGCTTGTTGCGCTAAGTTTCTCAATTCTTCCTTCGTATTAGCAAAACCTGATCCAAGACCACCGAGCGAGAACGCAGCACGTGCCATTACTGGATAACCCAGTTTTTCAGCGGCTTCTATGGCCTGTTTAAAAATAAATGATATATTAAAAATAAACATGTTAATTTAACATTTAGATGTTACATTTTATTTTTACAAAATTACGAAAATTACTGAAAAATCACAGATTCTTAATCGATTCAAATATCGCAAATTCTTCAGTAATTAAAAATTTTATTGAATTTTATTATTAACGATATTTCTATACAAAATTAATGTAAGATAGAATTGTGATTTTACAAAACTATGAAAAACATTCTGAGCTGTAAGAAAATGTCTTGTTATTGATATACCTCTTGAACGGAATACACTGCAGCACTTGGTGCGACTCTTTCATTTATCTCGCTAACACGATCTGCAAATATTTTTCTGTCTTCAGTTTGTATGATAGATTCAATCGGCGTTCCTAGAATTTTAACACTGTATTTCGCAAACACGCCGTTTCTCTCAAGTTCTACGCCACAGTTAAGGGCAGTTTGTCCACCGAATGTTAATAGTACGCCCTCCGGTCTCTCCGATCGTATTACCTAAAACAGATTATTAACAAAACGTTCTTTTTTCTCTGATAAGAAGATTTTTAATATGGAATATCCACAGTAAAAATAAAAGCAAATGGTTTTTTTATATACATATAAAAAAAGTAATTATAAATTATTAATTAAAAAGTTCAACCTTTAAATGTATAATTTGGCTTACCTGCTCAACATATTCTGGTGTAATTGGCAAGAAATATACTTTATCGGCCATGCCTTTTGATGTTTGTACCGTGGCGATATTAGGATTTATCAAAAGAGTCTGTATCGATTCTTCCTTTAACGCTTTTATTGCCTGAGAGCCCGAATAATCGAATTCTCCAGCTTGACCGATGCTGAGTCCTCCGGAGCCCAAGATTAGCACTTTCTTAGGCCGTTCGAGTGTAATTAAAGCCGAAGAATCATAGATTAACTTTTGAGTGAGCCTATCTTTTACAGAGATCCGAGGCCGATTCTCATCTTTCACGCTCTCCAAAAATACATCAAAGAGACATTCGAGATCTTCAGGTCCTGCTGTGTGCTCTGGATGAAATTGAACGGAGAAATATGGTAGATTTGAATGAACTATACCCTCATTACTGTTGTCATTCGTGTTGGTAAAGAGTACTTCCCAATCAGCAGGTAATTGAGCCGCATCAACGCAAAATCCGTGATTCTGCGAAGTCATGTAACAACGTCCGGTACCGTGATGTGTCGCCGGTTGATTGTGACCTCGATTGCCATAGCTAAAAGTGAATAACATCATCTGTACAATGATAATTAATTTATCATACTTATTGCATTGTATGACAGAAAAATACTCGTACTGCGTATTCGTATTCTGACGAGAAAATATGTATGTATATAATAACATTTCGAACAATAAAAAGGAAATATCGAGGTCAGAATGTTTGGAGCAAAAAGTGTAATCTATTATATTAATAATTTCAAGAATCTGTCTTTTAAGCAGTATTTGCTAATCTATCCAGCCAAAAATGAATGATCAAATTGATGTTGAATCGATTCGACACCGATTTATTTAATCGACGTTGATTCAACGATTAATCGATGTCGATTTGATATCATTTTTGGCTAGGTAATGAAAATAGTATTGGCATAATTCATGTCGTCACGTACTCCATTTTATATGTGACGCAACCAGCGGCAATGGATAGTAATTGATGTCCAAGACATATGCCAAAAATAGGTGTTTCCTTTTTTTTAGTGAGAACCATTCGGATATTTTGTATGGTTTCTTGGCACATGCTGGGATCACCCGGCCCATTACTGAGGAATAGACCGTCGTATTCGATAGCTCCCAAATTATAGTTCCATGGTACAACATCCACACGGGCACCACGTCTTAACAGACATCTCAGTTGATTGTATTTTAATCCACAATCAACTACACATATTCGAGGATATCCATTCGGATTATATGTTGAATATATGTTTGAAACAGGCTGAAAATTATTGTATTGTATAAAATTTGTGTGTAAAAATAGTATTGTCGGTATAATGTCATCAAAAATACTAATTAAACTGTATTAATATCTTTGTAGATTTATTTTATGTGAAAAAAATTAACGTTTTTGGAAAATAATTTAACGAAATAATTGATTTAATTATTGTACTTGTCATAGACACAACCGCGCCAAAAATTGAAAATTGAAAATTATTATTCGATGAAATAATCAAGTATTTTGAAATTTACTTTATACAAAGAAATGTTATATTACCAAAGAAACTTCGGCAACAAGATTCCTTTTGTTGGGATCTTTTATCGGAGGTATTATTGGCAGAGTGTTTGAGGATGGTTGACCGAAAATGATCCTCCCCAATATAGTACCTTTTTCGCGAATAACTTTTGTCAATGCTCGAGTATCGATATCACATATTCCAGGTACATTTTGTTCTTTCATCCATTCGGACAGCGTCTTGGTTTGACGCCAATGACTGGGTTTTTCGCAAATTTCTCCAACTATTAGTCCAGCGGCCCAAATACGATTAGACTCGAACCAACTGTCAAAATTAATATAATATATAAATAAAATATATTTTATTTTTAAAAAGTAATATTTTTTAAATTATATTTTCTTATTATTTCTCTATCAACATAAACTCAATGATTAAAATATTTTTAAAATATGCTTTATATATTATAATATCTGCTATAAATACTATTTGATGTTATGTTATTTTATGTATATAAATATGCGTATATATACATACATATATATATATATATATATATATATATCATATAAAGAAAAAAATGAAATGATTAAAACTGTAGATTTATCAAGAGATGCGCAATAGCGTCGCAGTAAGTATATCTTCTGTTCGTCTTTAATCTCTAATCTTTCTCTACATATGAACCTTGCAGAGCCATATATTTTCCCAGCGATGCACGATCTATTGAACACCATATGGAAACTGATACACTGCTCTTGAAAAAAATTCTCTATCTCATCCATCATCTCCTTGTCACTATAAAACGATAATGAGTTTATTGTCGAGCACCAAGGCTTCCTTGAATGATTGTTGGCTCTCCATTAGAGATAATCTGTCATTTCTGTAGTGACGAGGAAGTAATTACGAAGATGGAAAACTTTTTTCAAAAACAATATATCGGTTTCTGCAATAGAAAACAAGTGTGACTCTGCAGGATTCATATATAGAGAGAAACCAATAAAATGTATCCAGTTTTAATCATTTCATCCTATTAATTTATTTAATTTTAATTCTTTTTAATGATTTCTACGTGCATCTAAAAAAAGATTTATCGCTATTGTTCAAGTTACGCATTGTATCAATACGCTAATTATCACACAGCCTTATCTATTCTTGCAAACGTGCTAAACATAGTATGCTATTATCATATTTCATTTCTTTATTGTATAAAACTTTAAACATAATAAAGATATATTAATATTGTCATTTTACATATCTAGTATAAGAAAAAGGCTTATACTGTAAACGTCAATTTTAATTCAATCGATTGACATGCAAGATATGACGATTAACATTATATACTTTATATTAAGCTTATTAATGGTAGTTAAATTAAATTTTATTCCAATCACTTACTATGGTATGCCATTCTCGTCTTTTTCGTCACCAAACACACCATAATTTCCGATGAGGGGATATGTTAACACCAAAATTTGAGCATGATAAGAAGGGTCCGTAAGTGATTCTGAATAACCAACCATACCAGTCTGGAAAACTGTAAAAAATAATAATTGCATTTTTATATTTACAAATATATAATATGTATACCTAAACATATGTTTTATTATTTCACTTGCATATATAATATTTATGTTTAAACGCAAATCTCATTCATCTAAAAAAATACATGTTTCAAATGTCACAACTAAAATATTTTATAAATTTATATTGATTCCTGTGTTTTATTTTATATTATTAATTCTATTGGATTAATACTATTGGAAAAAGTGGAAATTTAATGTTGTAAAACGCATATCTTATTTTGCTAGTATTTTATCGTAATTATATTTTCGTAAGAAAGTGTACTCGCGCATGTCTCGAGGACTTTGATTTTGATTATAGTATTATTGATATTTGCATTTATTAACGACGATTATCACAGTATGCCTGTCTGTTATCTCATCAGGAATTCTGCTAAGTATTCTTTTCAAGAAAGTAGATTTACGATTCAGTTTTTGAAACGCATCTTTTGAACGCGCTGAACGGTCCACAACTTATGAGCAAAACATCAAATTAAAAGTTGATAAAAAGTTAATGAAAAGTAAATACATGAAATTGCCAAGTTTAATTACTATCTATATGTATATTTAAAATCTATATTATTACTTTTAATTTTACTTAAATATTAAGAAAATTGTTTTTAAGAATAATAATAGAAAAAATTGATATTGATAATCACACATCATAAGAATGTTGTTACACCTCAAAATAACGAAAAAAATTATATTTTAAATTATTATTAATCTTTTGACAAAAGATTAAAATGTAGTTGTAATGTGTCTAACAAAAATTTGATAAACATAAAAACTGTTTGTGAATCAAAATTGTTGATATGCACAATAATTATTTAAATGTATTTGAATTAATTGAATTTTGCTTAAACTTTTTTGAAAAAAATTAAGAATAATGATAACATTAAATCATCTATAATATATAATAAACTCTAAAAAATAACTGCAAAGCGAAATTGAAATATTGATATAGTTTTCATTCTGATTTATTCTAATATATATATATATATATATATATATATATTATATTTGTATATATTCATTACTAGAAGAATATTATTGATTTGATTTACTTTTAAAAATAATCCATATCTAAGTAAATTAATATATTGTTCAGTCACACATATATCTACAAAGGTTTATGATAATTTGACAAATTATTTATTATTAAATAACAATCTTCTATTACATAAATTACAGTATTTAATTTTTATTTAATCAGTTATTTAGTAAAGTTCAACTGCTACATCTAAACTACATATAATTTCTTAAATAAAATTTGTATATATTTAATATTAAGCAATAACATTGCCCGCAAACATATATTTATAATAAAACCCAAGTAGCAAGTTGACATCATTAAACGTCAAAATGACGAAATGGCTACCTATTAGAAATATGTGAAAACTTTCTCAATTATGAGAATCGTACAATGGAAAAATAATGTACTGATATTTTCACAATATGAATATCATTAAATCTTTCTCGCCTCAATAAGAATTTGTCTCATAAGAATCATACATAATACTTTCTAATCTATATATGTATAGGAAGTTGACTCTTGCAAAGCATGGCAGCGTGCACGTGTGCGCGTACAACTCCAACCTGTTAAAAGGAGCACATGTTCGATATATAAACTCACCAATTTCACCATCAACGGATACATCGGCACCAAAGCGGTTCCCCAAAAAAATATTACCGTCTTCTAAAAGAAGATAACTATCGGTCGCTCCATTGAGCCCAATAGATGCGTAACTAGGCATTTTTATTTTTTTCGCGTATTTCCTACACACGTGGTTCCAACACACTGCGTGCGTCGCAAGCCGGGAGCACGCTTTTAACATATTAAGCGTCCAATGGCTGCTTCTACAAAACGGTATACGTACCGTTAAAGAGCCAAAATGGGGAGGCATACGACCAATTGACGAGCAACGTTCCCGCTTTGCTGCGCAGAAGTTACAACGCAAGTCATGTGACAAGAATCCCTGCACAATCATTCGTTGCTTCGCATAACGTCATGTACGCTATTAAATTGGCGGGAAGACCAATTTTACTGATCGATACTTATACTTTTCCAATGACATTTCATGATCTAATTTAAAATTTTAGAATATTTGCCTAAAAGTTTGTACATATAAAGTAAAAGCAATTTTATATAATGAAATATCTTTGTATCCTTTCCTTTCTTTAAAAAAAGCATGTTAACTGAGTGAATTTAATTTTAATAAAAGTATCGAGACCTCTTTTCCGCGATGCTAGTTGGTTGTCTCCAAGTAATAAATAAATTAATTTTATGCATTTTTTTTCATCTTTATATTGTAATATATTGCGCAAGTAATAACAAATTAGATTATTATTTTGAGAAAGTTTAATGTGTAAAAGATCTTACAAATATACATATAACTGCACTATAACTATAATAATATATACTAACAATATAATACATAGTAATTGAATATAAACTATAAAACAAGTATGTGTATACCATATACTAAAGTAAATATATAACACAAAAGAATAAAGTAAAATATAAATATATATATATATATATATATATGTAATAGAATTTTAAATAAACATAACAAAGAATATTTACATTAAATCATAAAAATATTACATTTAATATTTTTCTAAAATTAATATATAATTTGATAAAAAAATGCTTGCTCAAATTCTCCATTTATACTATTGAAACGATATGTTTAATATATATATATTTGAAGTAAATATGTTATCAAATATATGTATATCGCAATAATCGTAAAGTTAATTCTTTGAAATTTAATTTTAATTTTTAGAAGAATGTGGAACATTTTAAACTGTCTAAATTTCAATCAATTATTAGGCAAAATTATAAACAATTAACAATTAATCAACGTATGATTTCTTGTCCAACCCAAAGTATTGCATTGTGAGGTTTGCTCGGTGAGTCTTCGTTGGAAGGCAAGCAAATTGGTATTACGAAATCCGAGAAAAATATTAATCTATCCAGTTATATCAGAACAATCGTACCTTCCACCGGTAATTTAATCATACCAACGATTCTGCGTCCTTGTTGCCAAAGTGATGTACTTGATAGTCGTACGACACCAAGTTTAGCCGACCATTCTGCTTTAAGTTAACTAAAAAAAAAAACAATAAATTTAAAATTAAATATATATTATATATTTTTTAAAAATATTTTGTTGAACTGTATGTTATATCTCAAAATTTAATTTCAATTTAAATTTTGATTTTATTGCTACAATATATAACAATATTAATATAAAATAAGAAAACATTTTTAATAAAATATTATCTCAAATAACTTTTTTAAAAAAATATTAAATTTACCCCTGAAAGCAATACGCAGTTGTAAGCAACCAATATTCCGCCACAAGAGTAACATCGCAAACATGAACACCATCCTTGAAAAGCGCAACATGCCAAAGTCAAGACCATCATTAAGACTTTGAATTCCGTCATTTGTATGTAAAGGTTGTAGTCCACATTTCAGTTTACAACAGAAAGAATATCAAATTATTTACAAGTTTACATATAATATAATAAAATAATTATACATACGTATTATACACTCTTCAATATAATTAAAAAATTAAATAAAAATTAAATTCTCATTTTTTAAAACAAAGTTACAACTATTTAAAATTTGCCTACTTTATGGACAAACTCGTCAATGTAAAAATCAAAATTAAAAATTGCGACCCAACTTTAAATTACGCAAATCCAAATCAGCAATCTTATTAAAAATCGTTTATAGATGTGTGAAGTGAATTTCGTTTCGCTTTACGTTGCACAGTTTATAAAATACAAAAGTTTAAAGAAAACTGTCCAAGACAAATTTTTCAAATTTCAAAATTTTTTGATTCTGCTTTGTACATCGATGTAACATTCGCATTCGAATGTCCCAAATCACAAAAAACGATTCTAAACACGACTGAGCATGTATATTTGACATATCTTAAAACTTGTCACTTTTTAAATTTTTCGCTTCAACATCGAAATCGATCTATCTTCGCTTAAAGACTTTAAACGCATTTGAAAATGTGTTTTTAATATATATTAATGTGAATCTGACAACTGACTATAATGAATTAATTTTTTTAATACCGAAAATGATAGTACGTCGGTCGCTCGCGTCGTAAGTGAAAAAATCATAAGTTCAAGTTTTTCCACAAATTGAAAATAACGCAAATCCAAATCAGCAGTCTTATTAAGAATCGTTTATAGATGTGTAAACTGAATTTCGTTTCGCTTTAAGTCGCACACTTTAAAAATACAGCAGCTTAAACAAAACTGTCAAAAATTAAATTTTTTCAAATTGAAAATAACGCAAATCCAAATCAGCAGTCTTATTAAGAATCGTTTATAGATGTGTGAAATGAATTTCGTTTCGCTTTAAGTCGCACACTTTAAAAAATACAGCAGTTTAAACAAAACTGTCAAAAATAAATTTTTTCAAATTGAAAATAACGCAAATCCAAATCAGCAGTCTTATTAAGAATCGTTTATAGATGTGTGAACTGAATTTCGTTTCGCTTTAAGTCGCACACTTTAAAAAATACAGCAGTTTAAACAAAACTGTCAAAATAAATTTTTTCAAATTGAAAATAACGCAAATCCAAATCAGCAGTCTTATTAAGAATCGTTTATAGATGTGTGAACTGAATTTCGTTTCGCTTTAAGTCGCACACTTTAAAAAATACAGCAGTTTAAAAAAACTGTCGAAAATAAATTTTTTAAATTGAAAATAACGCAAATCCAAATCAGCAGTCTTATTAAGAATCGTTTAAGATGTGTGAACTGAATTTCGTTTCGCTTTAAGTCGCACACTTTAAAAAATACAGCAGTTTAAACAAAACTGTCAAAATAAATTTTTTCAAATTGAAAATAACGCAAATCCAAATCAGCAGTCTTATTAAGAATCGTTTATAGATGTGTGAACTGAATTTCGTTTCGCTTTAAGTCGCACACTTTAAAAAATACAGCAGTTTAAACAAAACTGTCAAAAATAAATTTTTTTAAATTGAAAATAACGCAAATCCAAATCAGCAGTCTTATTAAGAATCGTTTATAGATGTGTGAACTGAATTTCGTTTCGCTTTAAGTCGCACACTTTAAAAAATACAGCAGTTTAAACAAAACTGTCAAAAATGAATTTTTTCAAATTGAAAATAACGCAAATCCAAATCAGCAGTCTTATTAAGAATCGTTTATAGATGTGTGAACTGAATTTCGTTTCGCTTTAAGTCGCACACTTTAAAAAATACAGCAGTTTAAACAAAACTGTCAAAAATAAATTTTTTCAAATTGAAAATAACGCAAATCCAAATCAGCAGTCTTATTAAGAATCGTTTATAGATGTGTGAACTGAATTTCGTTTCGCTTTAAGTCGCACACTTTAAAAAATACAGCAGTTTAAACAAAACTGTCAAAAATAAATTTTTTCAAATTGAAAATAACGCAAATCCAAATCAGCAGTCTTATTAAGAATCGTTTATAGATGTGTGAACTGAATTTCGTTTCGCTTTAAGTCGCACACTTTAAAAAATACAGCAGTTTAAACAAAACTGTCAAAAATAAATTTTTTCAAATTGAAAATAACGCAAATCCAAATCAGCAGTCTTATTAAGAATCGTTTATAGATGTGTGAACTGAATTTCGTTTCGCTTTAAGTCGCACACTTTAAAAAATACAGCAGTTTAAACAAAACTGTCAAAAATAAATTTTTTTAAATTGAAAATAACGCAAATCCAAATCAGCAGTCTTATTAAGAATCGTTTATAGATGTGTGAACTGAATTTCGTTTCGCTTTAAGTCGCACACTTTAAAAAATACAGCAGTTTAAACAAAACTGTCGAAAATAAATTTTTCAAATTGAAAATAACGCAAATCCAAATCAGCAGTCTTATTAAGAATCGTTTATAGATGTGTGAACTGAATTTCGTTTCGCTTTAAGTCGCACACTTTAAAAAATACAGCAGTTTAAACAAAACTGTCAAAAATAAATTTTTTCAAATTGAAAATAACGCAAATCCAAATCAGCAGTCTTATTAAGAATCGTTTATAGATGTGTGAACTGAATTTCGTTTCGCTTTAAGTCGCACACTTTAAAAAATACAGCAGTTTAAACAAAACTTTAAAAAATAAATTTTTTCAAATCGAAAATAACGCAAATTCAAATCAGCAGTCTTATTAAGAATCGTTTAGAGATGTGTGAACTGAATTTCGTTTCGCTTTAAGTCGCACACTTTAAAAAATACAGCAGTTTAAACAAAACTGTCAAAAATAAATTTTTTCAAATTGAAAATAACGCAAATCCAAATCAGCAGTCTTATTAAGAATCGTTTATAGATGTGTGAACTGAATTTCGTTTCGCTTTAAGTCGCACACTTTAAAAAATACAGCAGTTTAAACAAAACTGTCAAAAATAAATTTTTTCAAATTGAAAATAACGCAAATCCAAATCAGCAGTCTTATTAAGAATCGTTTATAGATGTGTGAACTGAATTTCGTTTCGCTTTAAGTCGCACACTTTAAAAAATACAGCAGTTTAAACAAAACTGTCAAAAATAAATTTTTTCAAATTGAAAATAACGCAAATCCAAATCAGCAGTCTTATTAAGAATCGTTTATAGATGTGTGAACTGAATTTCGTTTCGCTTTAAGTCGCACACTTTAAAAAATACAGCAGTTTAAACAAAACTGTCAAAAATAAATTTTTTCAAATTGAAAATAACGCAAATCCAAATCAGCAGTCTTATTAAGAATCGTTTATAGATGTG